GTGTAGGGTGCCTGTAATCCCAGCTACTCAGGTGGCTCAGTCAGGAGAATCACTTGAACCCGGGAGGCAGAGCTTGCAGTGAGCCAAGATCGCACCACTGCACTCCAGCCCAGGTGACAAGAGTGAAACTCTATCTCAAAAAAAAAAAATTAGCCGGGCGTGGTGTAGGGTGCCTGTAATCCCAGCTACTCAGGTGGCTCAGTCAGGAGAATCACTTGAACCCGGGAGGCAGAGCTTGCAGTGAGCCAAGATCGCACCACTGCACTCCAGCCCAGGTGACAAGAGTGAAACTCTATCTCAAAAAAAAAAAATTAGCCGGGCGTGGTGTAGGGTGCCTGTAATCCCAGCTACTCAGGTGGCTCAGTCAGGAGAATCACTTGAACCCGGGAGGCAGAGCTTGCAGTGAGCCAAGATCGCACCACTGCACTCCAGCCCAGGTGACAAGAGTGAAACTCTATCTCAAAAAAAAAAAATTAGCCGGGCGTGGTGTAGGGTGCCTGTAATCCCAGCTACTCAGGTGGCTCAGTCAGGAGAATCACTTGAACCCGGGAGGCAGAGCTTGCAGTGAGCCAAGATCGCACCACTGCACTCCAGCCCAGGTGACAAGAGTGAAACTCTATCTCAAAAAAAAAAAATTAGCCGGGCGTGGTGTAGGGTGCCTGTAATCCCAGCTACTCAGGTGGCTCAGTCAGGAGAATCACTTGAACCCGGGAGGCAGAGCTTGCAGTGAGCCAAGATCGCACCACTGCACTCCAGCCCAGGTGACAAGAGTGAAACTCTATCTCAAAAAAAAAAAATTAGCCGGGCGTGGTGTAGGGTGCCTGTAATCCCAGCTACTCAGGTGGCTCAGTCAGGAGAATCACTTGAACCCGGGAGGCAGAGCTTGCAGTGAGCCAAGATCGCACCACTGCACTCCAGCCCAGGTGACAAGAGTGAAACTCTATCTCAAAAAAAAAAAATTAGCCGGGCGTGGTGTAGGGTGCCTGTAATCCCAGCTACTCAGGTGGCTCAGTCAGGAGAATCACTTGAACCCGGGAGGCAGAGCTTGCAGTGAGCCAAGATCGCACCACTGCACTCCAGCCCAGGTGACAAGAGTGAAACTCTATCTCAAAAAAAAAAAATTAGCCGGGCGTGGTGTAGGGTGCCTGTAATCCCAGCTACTCAGGTGGCTCAGTCAGGAGAATCACTTGAACCCGGGAGGCAGAGCTTGCAGTGAGCCAAGATCGCACCACTGCACTCCAGCCCAGGTGACAAGAGTGAAACTCTATCTCAAAAAAAAAAAATTAGCCGGGCGTGGTGTAGGGTGCCTGTAATCCCAGCTACTCAGGTGGCTCAGTCAGGAGAATCACTTGAACCCGGGAGGCAGAGCTTGCAGTGAGCCAAGATCGCACCACTGCACTCCAGCCCAGGTGACAAGAGTGAAACTCTATCTCAAAAAAAAAAAATTAGCCGGGCGTGGTGTAGGGTGCCTGTAATCCCAGCTACTCAGGTGGCTCAGTCAGGAGAATCACTTGAACCCGGGAGGCAGAGCTTGCAGTGAGCCAAGATCGCACCACTGCACTCCAGCCCAGGTGACAAGAGTGAAACTCTATCTCAAAAAAAAAAAATTAGCCGGGCGTGGTGTAGGGTGCCTGTAATCCCAGCTACTCAGGTGGCTCAGTCAGGAGAATCACTTGAACCCGGGAGGCAGAGCTTGCAGTGAGCCAAGATCGCACCACTGCACTCCAGCCCAGGTGACAAGAGTGAAACTCTATCTCAAAAAAAAAAAATTAGCCGGGCGTGGTGTAGGGTGCCTGTAATCCCAGCTACTCAGGTGGCTCAGTCAGGAGAATCACTTGAACCCGGGAGGCAGAGCTTGCAGTGAGCCAAGATCGCACCACTGCACTCCAGCCCAGGTGACAAGAGTGAAACTCTATCTCAAAAAAAAAAAATTAGCCGGGCGTGGTGTAGGGTGCCTGTAATCCCAGCTACTCAGGTGGCTCAGTCAGGAGAATCACTTGAACCCGGGAGGCAGAGCTTGCAGTGAGCCAAGATCGCACCACTGCACTCCAGCCCAGGTGACAAGAGTGAAACTCTATCTCAAAAAAAAAAAATTAGCCGGGCGTGGTGTAGGGTGCCTGTAATCCCAGCTACTCAGGTGGCTCAGTCAGGAGAATCACTTGAACCCGGGAGGCAGAGCTTGCAGTGAGCCAAGATCGCACCACTGCACTCCAGCCCAGGTGACAAGAGTGAAACTCTATCTCAAAAAAAAAAAATTAGCCGGGCGTGGTGTAGGGTGCCTGTAATCCCAGCTACTCAGGTGGCTCAGTCAGGAGAATCACTTGAACCCGGGAGGCAGAGCTTGCAGTGAGCCAAGATCGCACCACTGCACTCCAGCCCAGGTGACAAGAGTGAAACTCTATCTCAAAAAAAAAAAATTAGCCGGGCGTGGTGTAGGGTGCCTGTAATCCCAGCTACTCAGGTGGCTCAGTCAGGAGAATCACTTGAACCCGGGAGGCAGAGCTTGCAGTGAGCCAAGATCGCACCACTGCACTCCAGCCCAGGTGACAAGAGTGAAACTCTATCTCAAAAAAAAAAAATTAGCCGGGCGTGGTGTAGGGTGCCTGTAATCCCAGCTACTCAGGTGGCTCAGTCAGGAGAATCACTTGAACCCGGGAGGCAGAGCTTGCAGTGAGCCAAGATCGCACCACTGCACTCCAGCCCAGGTGACAAGAGTGAAACTCTATCTCAAAAAAAAAAAATTAGCCGGGCGTGGTGTAGGGTGCCTGTAATCCCAGCTACTCAGGTGGCTCAGTCAGGAGAATCACTTGAACCCGGGAGGCAGAGCTTGCAGTGAGCCAAGATCGCACCACTGCACTCCAGCCCAGGTGACAAGAGTGAAACTCTATCTCAAAAAAAAAAAATTAGCCGGGCGTGGTGTAGGGTGCCTGTAATCCCAGCTACTCAGGTGGCTCAGTCAGGAGAATCACTTGAACCCGGGAGGCAGAGCTTGCAGTGAGCCAAGATCGCACCACTGCACTCCAGCCCAGGTGACAAGAGTGAAACTCTATCTCAAAAAAAAAAAATTAGCCGGGCGTGGTGTAGGGTGCCTGTAATCCCAGCTACTCAGGTGGCTCAGTCAGGAGAATCACTTGAACCCGGGAGGCAGAGCTTGCAGTGAGCCAAGATCGCACCACTGCACTCCAGCCCAGGTGACAAGAGTGAAACTCTATCTCAAAAAAAAAAAATTAGCCGGGCGTGGTGTAGGGTGCCTGTAATCCCAGCTACTCAGGTGGCTCAGTCAGGAGAATCACTTGAACCCGGGAGGCAGAGCTTGCAGTGAGCCAAGATCGCACCACTGCACTCCAGCCCAGGTGACAAGAGTGAAACTCTATCTCAAAAAAAAAAAATTAGCCGGGCGTGGTGTAGGGTGCCTGTAATCCCAGCTACTCAGGTGGCTCAGTCAGGAGAATCACTTGAACCCGGGAGGCAGAGCTTGCAGTGAGCCAAGATCGCACCACTGCACTCCAGCCCAGGTGACAAGAGTGAAACTCTATCTCAAAAAAAAAAAATTAGCCGGGCGTGGTGTAGGGTGCCTGTAATCCCAGCTACTCAGGTGGCTCAGTCAGGAGAATCACTTGAACCCGGGAGGCAGAGCTTGCAGTGAGCCAAGATCGCACCACTGCACTCCAGCCCAGGTGACAAGAGTGAAACTCTATCTCAAAAAAAAAAAATTAGCCGGGCGTGGTGTAGGGTGCCTGTAATCCCAGCTACTCAGGTGGCTCAGTCAGGAGAATCACTTGAACCCGGGAGGCAGAGCTTGCAGTGAGCCAAGATCGCACCACTGCACTCCAGCCCAGGTGACAAGAGTGAAACTCTATCTCAAAAAAAAAAAATTAGCCGGGCGTGGTGTAGGGTGCCTGTAATCCCAGCTACTCAGGTGGCTCAGTCAGGAGAATCACTTGAACCCGGGAGGCAGAGCTTGCAGTGAGCCAAGATCGCACCACTGCACTCCAGCCCAGGTGACAAGAGTGAAACTCTATCTCAAAAAAAAAAAATTAGCCGGGCGTGGTGTAGGGTGCCTGTAATCCCAGCTACTCAGGTGGCTCAGTCAGGAGAATCACTTGAACCCGGGAGGCAGAGCTTGCAGTGAGCCAAGATCGCACCACTGCACTCCAGCCCAGGTGACAAGAGTGAAACTCTATCTCAAAAAAAAAAAATTAGCCGGGCGTGGTGTAGGGTGCCTGTAATCCCAGCTACTCAGGTGGCTCAGTCAGGAGAATCACTTGAACCCGGGAGGCAGAGCTTGCAGTGAGCCAAGATCGCACCACTGCACTCCAGCCCAGGTGACAAGAGTGAAACTCTATCTCAAAAAAAAAAAATTAGCCGGGCGTGGTGTAGGGTGCCTGTAATCCCAGCTACTCAGGTGGCTCAGTCAGGAGAATCACTTGAACCCGGGAGGCAGAGCTTGCAGTGAGCCAAGATCGCACCACTGCACTCCAGCCCAGGTGACAAGAGTGAAACTCTATCTCAAAAAAAAAAAATTAGCCGGGCGTGGTGTAGGGTGCCTGTAATCCCAGCTACTCAGGTGGCTCAGTCAGGAGAATCACTTGAACCCGGGAGGCAGAGCTTGCAGTGAGCCAAGATCGCACCACTGCACTCCAGCCCAGGTGACAAGAGTGAAACTCTATCTCAAAAAAAAAAAATTAGCCGGGCCTGGTGGTGCATGCCTGTGGTCCCAGCTACGTGGGAGGCTGAGGTGGGACGATCACTTGAGCCTGGGAAGTCAAGGCTACAGTGAGTTGAAATCATATCACTGCACTCCAGCCTGAGCAACAGAGTGAGACCCTGTCTTAAAAAAAAAAAAAAAAAAAGTCTGAAAGAGAGAATAGTCCATTGTGTCAAATTGTCCAGATAAGTTGGATAAGATCAGGATTGAGAACTGACCCTTGGATATAGCATGGTTTCTCTAATTCTACCCTTCCTTATAATAAAATACCTTGTTTTCACTTTTTCCCCAGGTTGTAGCAGATACCAACATAAGTGCCATAGCAGCTCAGCTTGAAAACATGTCTACAGGCTACCACCTTGGTTCACCCACTGCTGAGCACCATCCAGAAGACACAGAGTGAGTATTTCAGATGCAGAGGGCCTATTATGCATGTGGGCAAAGCTCAAAAGAACTTTTCCAGATACTCAAGTGCACTCTAAAGGAGAGGAGGCCAAAGCGCCCATGACTTTTTCTAAATTCTAGGGAATCCTTATTTCTCACAAGGCTTAATTCCACCATATGAGTTCTTGAAAGACCATTGTTGCAGGGCCTGTGCACATGCTGCACCTGGTCACTTTGACACAGTGCCTATGCCTGCTTCCCTAAGAAACCACAGATGTATAGCCCAAGTGCACCCTGCTTTATTGTGCAAGGAGCCATGTTTCCTGAACTTCTAGGCTAAAATCTTGTTCTGAGATGAAATCTTGTTGTTATACTTGCTGACATGTTTCATTAAAACCAGTCATTGCAGTTAAAGTCATTCATTAAAGCAGGGTTTCTCAAACTAGAATGTACATAAGAGTAATCTAAGGGCCGGGCACAGTGGCTCACGCCTGTAATGCCTGCATTTTGGGAAGCCGAGGCGGGTGGATCACCTGAGGTCAAGAGTTCGAGACCAGCCTGGCCAACATGTGAAACCCTGTCTCTATTAAAAATATAAAAAATTAGCCAGGCGTAGTAGCGGGTGCCTGTAATCCCAGCTACTCAGGAGGCTGAGGCAGGAGAATTGCTTGAACCCAGGAGGCAGAGGCTGCAGTGAGCCAAGATTGCACCACTGAACTCCAGCCTGGGCAATAAGAGGAAAACTCCATCTCGAAAAAAAAAAAGAGTAATCTAGGTAGCATGTTTAAAGATGCTAATTCCCCAGGCCACATCCCAAAATTCTGACTAGGTGGTCTATGGTGGATTCCAGAAACCTGATGTTAACAAGTTTCCCAGAGTGATTCTGCTACAGGTGGGCAAAGGATCTACACTTTGAGAATGCTGCCTAAAGCTATTCCTCGCAGGTACCAGCAGTGCCTGGTCACTAGTAGGTGCTTAATAAATGTTTGTTGACAGATCTGGATGGTTCATTTGAAGGATCTCATGGTCATAGCCCATCCAAGTTTTTCCTCATAGTTCCCCACCTAAATGACATCTTTGAGTTTATTTTTATTGAGGAAAGAATATTAAATTAAGCTCATTCTACCTTTTTCTCGTTATAAAAGTAATACATGCCTGCCATAAAAATATAACAAAACATAGAAATATTACATTTTTCAAATTATGGTGGCCTTTTCCTTAAAAAAAACAAAAAAAGCAAAAAAACAGGACCTTTATAGGAAGTACAGTGTACGTTTAGCATCCTTTGATGTGTCTGTGGAAACACAGAGATCCCCTTGTAATCTTAATTCCTTTGCTATAATTCCATGGCCTCTGGCAGGCTGGGAACAACAAGCTTAAAGGAATTTTAAAATCACTCATAACAAACATTGGGATTTTTTCTTTTTTTTACTAGTCTATATGAAAGTAAATTTAAACTAATTGGTTGAAAATGTCATGATATTGTGAGATCAATGGAGGCAAATTCCATCTGATGTTGCCAGTTGAGGAGTAGAGCCACACTCCTCCTCTTCCCCTGAAAACACGTCCCTGAGTATAAATAGGCACAATTATAAGGGTCTTTAATGATTTGGGGCCGCAGGAGGTAGCTCTAAAACAATGGCTTTGGGCATCTAGGTTCCCATTCCAGTATCTTTGGAAATGGAGGCTGTGTTTGAAAAAAGAAGCACGAATCGAATTTGTATCCGGCCAGTGAGCTGTTACTGAGAGTGCCTGTAAGGCCACGAAGTGGGGAAAAGTAGAGCCTTATTCATAACGTCGTAATCATTCAGCTATAGGGGACAATTCATCAGTATCTCAACAGATATTTATTGAGCACCATTCTAAGGCCAGACGCTTAGATACAAGTGCTAGGTCCTGAGGATGCAAACTTAGAAATGTAAGTAAAGATTCTGCCCCAGTCCCCAAAGAGCTGCCAGAGAAGTGGAAAAACAGACCCATAAATCCATGGTTATAAAAGATAACTGTAGGAGAGCTAAATTCATTGAGAGAGGGTCCTGTGAAACCATGGATATGGGGCATAACTCAATGAAGGAGTGTAGTTTGGAGAAGCTAATGCTTAAGCTTAAGAGAACTGGAGCCTGCCTGGAGCCAGGCATAGTGGTGCATGCTTGTAGTCCCAGCTACTCAAGAGGCTGAGGCGGGAGGATCACTTGAACCCAGGAGTTTGAGGCTGCAATGGGCTGTGATTGTTCCACTGTACTCCAGCCTAGGAGACAGAACAAGACCCTGTCTCAAAAAAAAAGAAAAAAATTTGGAATAAGCAGGTGGCATTCAAAATAGTTAAGTGGGGTGGCTCACTCCTGTAATCCCAGCACTTTGAGAGGCCAAGGCCTGGGCAACATAGTCAGACTCTGTGTTTATAAAAAAATGTAAAGACAAACAGAACAGTTAAAAACAGTTAACAAGGCCGGGCGTGGTGGCTCACGCCTGTAATCCCAGCACTTTGGGAGGCCGAGGCAGACAGATCACCTGAGGTCAGGAGTTCAAGACCAGCCTAACCAACATGGAGAAACCCCATCTCTACTAAAAATACAAAATTAGCCGGGCATGGTGGCGCATGCCTGTAATCCCAGCTACTTGGGAGGCTGAGGCAGGAGAATCACTTGAACCCAGGAGGTGGAGGTCGCAGTGAGCTGAGATCATGCCATTGCACTCCAGCCTGGGCAACAAGAGCGGAACTCCATCTCAAAAAACAAAAACAAACAAACAAAAAATCAGTTAACAATTTATATAGCATAGATCATCAGCAGTAACTATGGATGTCTGCTGTAAACAACCAGTAAGTACATCAACAAACAACTGGTAACAGTGTGAACCAGCTGAAAACCCTTTAATAAACCCAGCGAAATTGAAGAGGAAGAATATTCTAGTTAAATAGAACAATATATTCAAAGATCGCTTGTGTCCCCATTTTGCAAATTTCTCTAAGTACATGAATGGCTGAGTTTATGAGAGATGACTTTGCCTCTCAGACATGCATGTTGCCACAAAACAAAGGATGCTGCCAGTACACAAATGTGAATTACCTATCATAAATAAGACAGGGTCTGGGTTTCTGCCTTTTGAGCAATAGCATTTGGGAATAAGAAATTGGCATCACCTAAGGTTTCATTAAGATTAAATTACTGGGAACCCACATAGGTAATTTAATTTTTAGCCGTGTTGTTTCTGAGAGAGAAGACTTCCACACTGGATGAAGCTTTGAAAAGCTAAATTTTACACTTGAAACAGATTTTCTTTCTCCATTTTGCTTCACCTTGGTTTCTCTCTTCTCTCCTGGATTTCAGTTCTCATTTACACAGTCATGATCCTGAGTTTCTGACAAGCATCACACATGGTGCTGGGAAGGCTCAGATGACTAAGACAAAGAGGTCATAGTCTGGTAGAGGAAATGGATGGCAAAGTAATTACAATATGATATAGTCAGTGCCGAAATGGAAATTTGGACTCAGTGCAGGGGAAGCACAGAAAAGGATGTGGAGGCTGGGCACGGTGACTCACGCCTGTAATTCCAGCACTTTGGGAGGCCGAGGCAGGTGGATCACCTGAGGTCAGGAGTTCGAGACCAGCCTGGCCAACATGGTGAAACCTCGTCTCTATAAAAATACAAAAATTAGCTGGATGTGGTGGCAGACGCCTGTAATCCCAGCTACTCAGGAGGCTGAGACTAGGAGAATTGATTGAACCTGGGAGGCGGAGGTTGCTGTGAGCCAAGACCGCACCACTACACTCCAGCCTGGGTGACAGAACGAGACTCTGTCTCAAAAAAAGAAAAAAAGGGTGTGGAACCCATCCTCCCAAGAGAGGCAGGAGAACCTCACATTGGAAGTGAGTTTGGAGAATGAGTTCCTGCCTTAGGTGGAAGTGGCCAGGGCATTCAGGCAGAAAAGGAACAGCAGTCTGGGTGCGGCAGCTCACACCTGCAATCCCAGCACTTTGTGAGGCGTCAGATGGATCACCTGAGGTCAGGAGTTCGAGACCAGCCTAGCCAACATGGCGAAACCTCGTCTCTACTAAAAATACAAAACTTAGCTGGGCATGGTAGCACACCCGTGTAATCCCAGCTACTCAGGAGGCCGAGGCAGGAGAATCGCTTGAACCTGGGAGGTGGAGGTTGCAGTGAGCCAAGATTGTGCCACTACACTCCAGCCTGGGCGACAGAGCAAGACTCTGTCTCAAAAGAAAAAAAAAGATAAAAGAAAAGGAGCAGCAGTTTCCTGAGCTGCGGGCTGCTACTGCCTATTATGGACAAGAGTTCACGTGAAGTCTCCCACCACACTAGGAGACACGCCACCTCGCTTTCCATGCACGTGCTTCAAGGATGTGATGACAGCTTCCTTCAGCTGTCAGCCGTAAGTTTAAAAGTTAAAAACTGGCTGGGTGCAGTGGCTCATGCCTGTAATCCCAGCACTTTGGGAGGTCAAGGCAGGCAGATCACTTGAGGTCAGGAGTTTGAGACCAGCCTGGCCAACATGGTGAAACCCCATCTCTACTAAAAATACAAAAATTAGCCAGGCGTGGTACGCACCCATAGTCCCAGCTCTGTCTCAAAAAAATAAATAAATAAAAAGAGTTAAAAACTAAGCATATAGAAGAGTGCTTTGACAGTTTCAGCATCATGACTTTATCTTTAATTAGAAATCAGTGAGTTTTATGGAAGAGAAACCTCTAAAACATCAAGAATATAGGTGATTAATTGGCATGACGTGAGAAGTTTTAAAATAACTTTCTAGATTGCTTTCTGAGAGTTTGATCTGATAAACCAAACTTCATAGTGTTGCAGTATGAAAGTCTCTCTCAAATCTGTATTCTTCCAATAAAATGAAATTCCCTCTCGATATCTATTCTGGAATTAAACAGCATGCATTGTGTTTTCAGAACACCTCCACCTAAGATTATTACTTTGGAGAAAGGCTCTGCAGGATTGGGGTTTAGTATTGTAGGGGGTTATGGAAGTCCCCATGGAGACCTGCCAATTTATGTCAAGACTGTATTTGCAAAGGTATATTTTCTTTTTTAATGTACTTTTTTAAAAAAATTAAACCTAGGTGAGATTTTTTTTTTAAGTGCTTTGCTTAGCTTTACTTTGGGTTAAACCTGGATGTGTGCATGTATGCTTATTTCATTTGAATCTCATAGGAAATTCTCACACCAGAATAGTGAAGGAAGAGTTCTTTTACAATGGCGGAGCCACAAGAAGTGCAGTTTTCTTTGGACTCTATTACGGAAGCAGATGCTCACAGATTTTTAGTCTTCTTTCAGCAACACAGCATAAGGAGCAGTGCCACTCTTTAGAAGGTGTCCTTGGAAATATTGTTCTGAACTAGAAAAAAGATTTGGCCTTCTTCTTGAAAATAATAGGCACTGGGGGCTGAGGCAGAAAGGTTTGTGCTGTGCAAGCCTCGGATCAGTGCATTCTGCATTCTTTTTTTTTTTTTTTTGAGATGGAGTTTTGCTCTTGTCACCGAGGCTGGAGTGCAATGGCATGGTCTCAGCTCACTGCAACCTCCGCCTCCCCGGGTTCAAGCAATTCTCCTGCCTCAGTAGCTAGGACTGCAGGCGCACGCCACCACACCTGACTAATTGTTGTTTTTGGTAGAGACGGGGTTTCGCCATGTTGCCCAGGCTGATTTCAAACTACTGAGCTCAGGCGATCCACCCACCTCGGCCATCCAAAGTGCTCGTAGGTGTGTGTCACTGTGCC